CTGTTGGAACGACCTTTAAGAAGTTGGCAGTTGTGGCTGCCCGTACTTATATTTGTAGTAAAAATTCTCTGATGGCACCAGGCGACCAGGCCAGATTGTGGTACGGCCACATAACTCTGAAGTGTTGGAGCAGGATGTTATCTGGCTTAACACGTCGCCTGGTATTCCGGTGAAAGTGAAGACCTAGATCACTTCCCCTTTGGAGAAGAGCGTTATCGGTAATCCGGATACCGAACTGCACCACTCCAGCTACAATCTCAATACAGCTTGATGAACTGCCAGTCAACGATTGCCAATAAAAGTGCGATTCTCCAACCTATCATAACTACACTTATTTTATTCTGTTTCAGGTAGCTTCGATTTTATTTCGACGCCACCTGGTGGATCCTACTGAACTAAAGTGAAAAGCTGGCGTATTTTTGCAAAACTTTGAGCATATTTATTGCTATTGTTATTCAATTTTTCAAGATAAAAACCATACGAAAACCATCTAGGAAGTGTCAAGAATCGGTATGCAAAATTTTAGCAAAATCGCTTCAGTAGTTTTCTCGGTTAGCGATTACAACGGTTTTAGCGACTTTGCTTTATATATTAGTGAGAAAAAACATCCCAAATTATTTGNTTCCTGAATCTGTATTGATTTGGCTTCAGATTTCCAGCTTCTCCTTGTTTTAGTTATTGATTCTTGTTAAATTGAAACAAATATAAAAAAGTTGGTTTCCTTGATTAACATACGGTTTTAGCGACTTTGCTTTATATATTAGTGAGAAAAAACATCCCAAATTATTTGTGAAAAATTAATTTTTATAAAAGTTATAGGTTACTGATTTTTAAGGCACATTTCTGTTAAAATAATTATTTTTTAGCAACTAGTCAATAAAAATTAATGAAATTTAAACGGTGTGTTTATAATTCACAGTAGAATAAAAAACCATATCATTTAAGAAAATACAATTAATTTATTGAAAAGCGCAGTAAGAAAATTTTTTTTGTTTTTTTTTAACCTTATATGTTTAAAACAGAAGTAAATAGAACAAGAAATTTTTTTTACTTTTTTTGCTGTAGTATCTAAATATAAAGCTAAATACTGCCCAAGCCTCAAAATCAACTTCTAACTTTAAAATTAGTACTAAACACCAAGTTTTTTAATATTTCGTCCATGCAAGAAAAAAACTTATTTTTTCACTCACTTTTAATTTAATTGTGTGTATGTAAAAAAGTCAAAGNATCTAAATATAAAGCTAAATACTGCCCAAGCCTCAAAATCAACTTCTAACTTTAAAATTAGTACTAAACACCAAGTTTTTTAATATTTCGTCCATGCAAGAAAAAAACTTATTTTTTCACTCACTTTTAATTTAATTGTGTGTATGTAAAAAAGTCAAAGAAGCTTGTGAAGCAAAAATCTAATTTCAAATTTCAGTTGCATGTCAATTTGATAGATATATCAAAAACAAAAATATTCAGAGGTACAGTTCATTTTTAATTCTCTCTGTTATTCAGTATATAATTATAAAAACATACAAAAAAGATCCTAGTATCAGTACCTAACCTAAAAAATAATCATTAAACCATGAATTCTTGAACATTTTGCAAGTGCGAGAAAACAATAAGATTATTTTATTTTATTTCCATCTAGATTTAATACATAAATGTAAATAATATTTACGAAAGCCTAGAAATCAAGATCTAACCTTTAACATTTTATATACCTTGCCAACGCAATCATTTAAAGGCATTTTTTAAAATCTTTTTGTTATTCATTATATCATAAAAATATACTAATTAAATCATGACTTTAGTATCTGATATAAATATACTTATTAAACTATGAATTCTTGGATACATTGCCAACACAGAGAGATTTACATGAATACTTAATACTTAACTCAACAAAATTGAAAACATCCCAAAAATCAAAATCTAACTTTAACATGCTCATAGTATGTCAGTTTTATGCATATCTTACAAACGTTACTAAATAAAAAAATTTTTCTTTCTTTACTTTTTTCATTCTTTAATACAAAATTGGGATAAAATACTAAGGATGCTAGAGAAGTCAACCCTAACCTAAAAATCAATCAATTGTTGTCTTAATTCTGTGAAAATCTTGCTACTTTAAACACACACACCTAAATTTTTTTTGTTAAATTTCAAACTTTTGACAGAAATAAGAATGCATGACTGTAATGTATGCACTGTTATTAGATAAACTCGTGAAAATATTTTCTGAAAGCACTAAATTATCAGTTAATAAATACTTCTGTTTAGCTACTCATTTTTTTTTTAATGATAAGCAAACTATATCAAAATCAGCGTAGTCTATATTTATTTAACGTTTTATTTGTTTTTAGTTATCTGTGATAAAATAATATGTTTGTTAAAAAATGTTAAGTACGACTAAGAGCAAGTTCGCTAATTTTTAACAAAGTTTTAATACATCCCATACCTGCAAAACACAATAGTTCGATGCAATTTTACAAGAAAAGTACTTATTTCTTGACCTCATATAAATTAACTCTCAATTTTTGAGGTACTAGAAAATACAATTTTAAAAGGTGAAAAATCAACAAAGTTAGTCGTCAATTGAATCTCTTTTTTTGAAAGAAAGAATCAATCCAAAATTTGTGTATCATTCAACAATAGCCAAAAATGCTTCACTTCCTATAAAAAACATTCAAAATATTCGAAAGAGAAGATTAAATTAATGACTTAAGAGCATTTATCCAAACTCTGATGAACATATAAAGAAAACGTAAATAAAAAAATTATTTTTGCTTATGGTAAAGGAAAAAAAAGGAAAAAAGATTTATCCATTTACTTGTTCGCGTTTACGAGATATAAGGAGAAATACAGTTAAATAGTAATTTGGTATCTCTAGATACTCTATGGAACAAGAATCCGATCGACCAAATCGCTTATATTTACAAAATATATAAGACTAACAGAAAGCTTCGATGGCTTAGTAGAAAGCCTGCTAGCCTACTAGCCGGGGAGATACTTCGAGGGGTCATGGGTTCGAATCCCGTCAAAAATTATAGATTTTTTCGCTGTTTTTTCTGATGAGGTGAGTACCCAGGATGCCGAAACACTTCTTATCCGATTTTTAAAACCAAATAGTCGATTTTTCTGGTGCTAACTGGACCTTCCTTTCCAAAGGAAGACAATACATGGAGGCTTTTTTTCCAAAGGAAAGCCAACACATGGCCAGCTTATCGAGTAACGTCACTATTGGTCATAGAAAGGTCGGAACAGTGAGTTTAGATGGTTTATTTAATATCTTTCCGTTAAATTCGATAATAGTTGGGGTGTGCTTGAGACAACCGCTGCGCTCTGTAAATAGTACCCGGTAGGATAGATGGCCGAATCGTCTGAGGGAAATTTTGCAAAGGACCCGCTCGAAAGACTCGCATACTTGGGACATAGAATGGTAATTACGAAAAAAGAACAAAGAAGGTAAAGATTAGGGACATAAGATATGTAAAAATCCTGCAATAGATGTATGTTGGAATCATAATATAATATGTATAAAAGTCTAACAGCTTCCTGAATCTTTATTGATTTGACTTCAGATTTCCAGCTCCTCCTTGTTTTAGTTATTGATTCTTGTTAAATTGAAACAAATATAAATAAGTTGGTTTCCTTAAATAAAAAAATTCGTAAGATGTTATATACAGTTATATTTGTAAGGAATTATATATACTTATGTTATTAAGTATTAGGTCACAAATAAAAAAAACAAATTCGCCTACTGTACTTATCAATAAATTAATTTTTTTCTGCAAACTGCATGATTTTTGGTTCTACTGTAAATTATAAACATGCCATTAAATTTTCATTAATACTTATCGATTAGTTGCTAAGAAATTGTCAGTGAAACAAAAACGTGCCTTAAAAATTAACTGCTTATAACTTTTGCCAAAATCAATTTTTTATAAATATTTTTAGATACTTTTTATAACACATGGATCTTANGCAACGTTTCGCTGACAATATGCGTCAGCCTCATCAGGCTACAAAATTAAAATTAAAAAACACACAATGAGTGATCTGGAAGGCTCAAACGCAAAATACAATAAATTTTGATGTAAATTGTTACCGCAGGTACGCGAGAATTCGTAAGTTTGGTTGACTTACTCGTCACCTGTCGTGCTATCGACTGACAATAAATTACAACAACAAGCCAGCGCTTATATAGGCGGAGCCGCAAAGGTAGACGGTAAAGGGCGATGAACTCGATAGGGACATTTAAACTTTCGTAGTAAAGGAAGGTATGCTCTATTAAAGGAAAGCACATCCTCCTTTCTATTGATGTTGTGTTTGTCAAGTTTTATATAAAGCATTTTGGAAATAATTCTTTTATTCATCTTTTGTTGTTATACATATTTATTTACACATTAGTGGATCTTATCATGATTTCTCTAACAAATTTTATAGAAAAAATATACGAGTATCCAAATAGGCAGTAGAAAACAGAATTCATATGCATTTTGTACAGTAATATATGATGTTTTGAGACTTGATAAAATATAGGGTAAATTTTAATTGTCAGAGAACCAACTAATACCATGATAATAATAAAATAAGTACACAGAGAAAAAAAAATGAATTTTTACTGTAAAAGCAACGCTGAAGTTGTAATCAATATATCTTCACTATAATTTTTACAGTACCTTTAGGGAAATTTTTCTGGAGTTGAAAAATTAATCTTAGCTTTACATTTTACCGTGAAGTTACGGTAATTTTTCTTCTGATTGAAGAAAAATAATACGAATTATTGCATGATAGAAAGAAACCAACAATGTAAGACACGAAAAAATTGTATTTCACTATCGGGTGGTAAATTTATATTCGTAAGCGATGAATATACACATTAGTTATTAAAAGTAAATGGAATCAATTTATATGTACCCATGAGATAGTATCGACAAACATCGAGAATGTAATACAAAATAAGATTCACTAAATAGAACGTGCAACAAAAAAAATTTATGGATCACTTCACTTACCAAAATCTCATCAAACTGATTGTAGCAGCTCAGTGGTGGGTGTAAAAGACTTTCACTCATTGAATTTGATGCTTGTTGAGCTTGACCCACAAACTGAATGTTTAATATGTTTAGTGCACAATGAATCATTGATAAAATTACAAGTAATCCAGCTGAAACAAAATATTAATAATTTATTTGAATATTAAAAAAACTAAAACACAATAGGCGTGCTTTAAACAGTGTATTTCTATACTTTTATGCTTTTATGCATTTTGAAACGACTTATCCTTTTTAACATTATTTAATGTTTTATTTGTTTTTAGTTATCCGTGATAAAATAATATGTCTGTAAAAAATGTTAAGTACGACTAAGAGAGAGTTTGCCTACTTTTTACAAAGTTTAAATACATATATACCTGCAAAACACAATAGTTTGATGCAATTTTACAAGAAAAGTACGTATTTCTTGACCTCATGTAAATTAACTTTTAATTTTTGAGGTACCAGAAAAAATAATTTTTAAAGGTGGAAAATCAACAAAGTCGTCAATTAAATTTCTTTTTTTGAGAGAAAGAATCAATCCAAAATCTTTGTATCATTAAACAATAGCTAAAAATGCTTTACTTCCGATAAAAAAATTTCAAAGTATTCGAAAGAGAAGATTATATTAATTACTTAAGAGCATTTATCCAAACTTTGATAAACATATAAAGAAAACATAAATAAAAAAATTATTTTTGTTCATGGTAAAGGAAAAAAAGGGAAAAAAGATTTATCCATTTACTTGTTAGCGCTTAGGAGATATGAGGAAAAATACAGTTAAATAGTATTTTGGTATCTCGATTTGGTATCTAGATACTCTATGGAACAAGAAATAAAAAACAAGAATCCAATCGACCAAACCGCTTATGTTTGCAAAATATATAAGACTAACAGAATGCTTCGATGGCTTAGTAGTGAGGGTGCTAGCTTACTAGCCGGAGATATTTCGAGGGGTCTCGTGGGTTCGAATCCCATAGAAAATTATAGATTTTTTGCTCTGTTTTTTCCGATGAGGTGAGTACCCAGGATGCCGAAACACCACTAATCCGATGTTTAAAACCAAATAGTTGATATTTCTGGTGATAACTGGACCTTCCTCTCCGAAGGAAAGCCAATACATGGAGGATTTTTTTCCAAAGGAAATCCAACACATGGCCAGCTTATCGGGTAATGTCACTGTTGATCATAAAAAGGTCGGTACAGTGAGTTTAGATGGTTCATATAATATCTTTCCATTAAATTTGATAGTAGTTGGGGTGTGCTTGAGACAACCGCTGCGCTCTGTAAATAGTACCTGGTAGGATAGATGACCGAGTCGTCTGAGATATGTAATGGTAATAACGAAAAAGAACAAAGAAGGTAAAGATTAGGGACACAAGATATGTAAAAACCCTGCAATAGGTATACGTTTGAATCTTAATACAATATGTATAAAAATCTAACAGCTTCCTGAATCTGTATTGATTTGGCTTCAGATTTCCAGCTTCTCCTTGTTTTAGTTATTGATTCTTGTTAAATTGAAACAAATATAAAAAAGTTGGTTTCCTTGATTAACATAATTCGTAAGATGTTATATACACTTATATTTGTAAGATATTGTTTATACTTATGTAATTAAGTATTCAGTTAAAAATTAAAAAACAAATTTGCCTACTGTATTTATCAATAAGTTAATTTTTTTCTACAAACTGCATGATTTTTGGTTCTACTGTAAAATATAAACATGCCATTTAATTTTCATTAATACTCATTGATTAGTTGCTAAGAAATTGTCAGTTAAACAAAAACGTATCTTAAAAATTAATTGCTTATAACTTTTGCAAAAATCAATTTTTCATAAATATTTTGAGATATTTTTTATAANTTAGTATTAAATTTTATCGGAATATTGTTCCTAATAATAAAAACAACGCTATAGATTATTCTTCTCTTGTTTTTTTATATATTTATTTACATATTAGTGGACGTTATCATGATTTCTCTTACAAATTTTATAAAAAAAATATACGAGTATCCAAATAGGGAGTAGAAAACAGAATTCATACTCTTTTTGTGCAGTAGTATATTATGTTTGACAACTTGATAAAATATAGAATAAATTGTAATTGTCAGAGTACCAACTAATACCATGATATTATTGAAGTAAATACACAGAGAAAAAAAAATGTATTTTTACTGTAAAAGCAACGCTAAAGTTGTGATCAATATATCTTTACTCTAATTTTTGCAGTACCTTCACGGAAATTTTTCTGTAGTTGAAAAATTAATCTTAGCTTTACATTTTACCGTGAAGTTACGGTAATTTTTCTTCTGATTGAAGAAAAATAATACGAATTATTGCATGATAGAAAGAAACCAACAATGTAAGACACGAAAAAATTGTATTTCACTATCGGGTGGTAAATTTATATTCGTAAGCGATGAATATACATATAAGTTGTTAAAAGTAAATGGAATCAATTTATATGTACCCATGAGATAGTATCGACAAACATCGAGAATAGAATACAAAATAATGATCACTAAATAAAACGTACAACAACAAAAAATTTATTAATCAATTCACTTACCAAAATATCGTCAAACTGATTGTAGCAGTTCAACGGTGGCTGTAAAATACTTTCACTCATTGAATTTGATGCTTGTTGAGCTTGACCCGCAAACTGAATGTTTAATATGTTAAGTGCACAATGAATCATTGATAAAATTACAAGTAATCCAGCTGAAACAAAATATTAATAATTTATTTGAATATTAAAAAAACTAAAACACAATAGGCGTGCTTTAAACAGTGTATTTCTATACTTTTATGCATTTTGAAAAGACTTGTCTTTTTTACAAAGTAAGTACGTATTTTGAAAGTAGAAATTAGAATTATCATTAATTAAATTGTCAGGAATCTAACAATTTTGTTCAATACTTCATATTTTACTGTATTGTATTAAGATTCTAACGTACACCCATTGTAGGGTTTGCGTATATCTTATGTCCCTAATCTTTACCTTTCTTGTTCTTTTTTCGTAATTACCATTCTATGTTCCAAGTATGTAAGTCTTTCGAGCAAAGCTTCCCTCAGACGATTCGGTCATTTATCTTACCGGGTACTATTTACAGAGCCCAGCGGTTATCTCAAGCATACTACAGCTATTATCAAATTTAATGGAAAGATATTAAATAAACCATCTAAACTCGCTGTACCAACCTTTTTAAAACCAACAGTGACTTTATTCGATAAGCTGGACATGTGTTAAATTTCCTTCAGATAGGAAGCCTCTGGAGGGCCAGAGATCGCCTGAAAAATTGACTACCTATTGGGTTTTCAAAAATCGGATGAATAGTGTTTCGGTATCCTGAGTACTCATCCCATCAAAAAAGTCCGAGAAAAAAATTTCAATAATTTTCAACGGGATTCAAACTCACAACCCCTCGAGTATTTCTGGCCAGGAGGCTAGCACGCTAACCACTAAGCCGTTGAAGCTGTCTGTTTAATACTTTATATTGAATGACTTTTAAATTTACAAAATGATAAAATTATAAACTATAATGTAAGTTCTTATAATAGGTTATGTTTTTCTGTATTCATTTTAAAACAAAATATATTTGGAAGCAAGAACCACAGAGGCAAATAATTTATGCGAGAAATCTTATACAACTCTGAACAGATTAGCATTTCAAAAAACGATTATCATCAAATAATATTATTTAGATATTGATTAAAATGGGTCCTGCAAACAATTCATCAACCTATCTTAATTACATGTACAATCGTTGTAGATCGTTGCTAGATCGTTAAAAGAAAATCAATATGTACGTTCAAAATTTCGTCCATGTATTGTCAAATTGAGCTGTAAATTATATCTTCATCAAGGACTCATAAATCGTGTTTTTTAATTTATTTTTGGAACTCTAGCATACTATATCCTCCGCTTAATTGAAGTACATTCTGTTAACAATTAAATTTAATTTTTCATAACAAATCAATTTTATATTTAGCTGTTAAACCATTGCATTTAAATTTAGAAGTTTGTTTTCTCCGCATCATTGTGTTAGCTTTCTAGCGTTTATTTTGTACTTGCGTTTCAGTTCCCTTAATTATTATTACTCAATAAATCAGTTGGCTCCATAAAATCGACATAGTCATAAGTCATAGGCATAGTCGACACAGACATAGCCATAGGGTAGCATAAAACACTTGTGTCACAATTCAGTTTATGTGCACAGAAGATATAGGCTGACATAAACATAATTAAATATCTATGAGGTACTTGGTGGGCTGCCCATCCAAACACTCTACTTACTCTATACAAAAACTTTATCCGATTTATAATTGACTATGCAGGCTTCATCTAATTTTCTGATAGGTACAAAAAATTATTAAAATCTAAAATATTACATTACGATACTAAAGCGAGGGGAATACGATTGACGTACGCGTATCAGTTTCATAACCCTTCCGCACGTGTGGTGTACACAACTTTTCGATTCAACGTGCGCGCCTTCAAGGAGGACGAAATTTTGAACCATCTAATGTGGGTCTGCAACGACTTTGACGTATACACGCACTCGCACAAGTGCGAAGCATGAGCTGTGAGTCACGTGTGTAAATCGAGGTCTTTAGAGCCACACAGTTGGTTTGCAATCGAGTCTCCGCGCATGCAGCGTGTCGGAAAATACAATACTTTGGTATATTATAGGCTCCGTGCACAAAGACACCAGTGCCAACTTGTGGCTAAATGGTGAGTTTTTTCAGCATGAGATTTTGATTTAATACGTTGTAAAAAAGATGTATATCCCTTTGTTGCTCATACATGTGAGCTACATTGCATGTGTTTGTACTACTAAGTCTTCTCTATATCTCTTACATACTTTATTGACACATACAATGTAGATCACATGTACGAGCAACAAAGGAACATATATCTCTTTTACAACTTATTAAAGCAAAATCTTATGCTGAAAAAACATCACCGTAAAGATCAGGAGTTAGGGATTCTAATTGAGATGATCAGACTATTAGAAATAGTCTTGATATTAATAAAAAAAATTATTGACTTAGGTAACCATGCTACTCCGTATACTCTTGTTATCGCGCGGACTCATCATCTAGCTACAAGTTAGCGCTGGGGTT